GTCAAAATAAACTCCCGGTACGATAGTCTTCCATATAAGCTTTCCAAGAGACACCTCTAGCTTCAAGACGGTCAACTATATTGATTCCGGGAACATTGTGATTGTTATTGTCTGTGATACCAGCAGTTGAACCATAAATTGTGCAAATGTAATTTGGCTAAAATACAAAAAAGTTAATTTTAAATTTTAGGATCAAAAAAATAGAAATAAGAATTACCTGAGACGGATGTGTGATTGCGAAGAAGTTGTTAAGAAGAAGACCATTACTGCGGGTGGTTATATTTTTCAAATAAGATTGAGCATACGCTGCAGTAAATCCGGTGTTTTCTAATATGACTAAGACAATTCGGTCAAAATAAACTCCCGGTACGATAGCACCAGTGGTCACTCCAATAGAAGCGAAAATTAAGAAGAGAATGACAGATGTAAAATGCTTCATCCTTATTTAAGCGTAAAGGTTAAGTAAATTTGAACACCGTTAGAAAGTGGAATTCATTGCGTTTTTATACATTATAAAATGGTAGTTAAAACATTGAGCTATATTTTCTTAATATTACATTTAGTTTTTGATCGGAAAAAATTAACAATGTCTTACAACTCATGACAAAATATTAAATGTGTAAGATTTTTGAACAAAGGACTGAACCAAATTTGTAAAAACGCGTGGCTTTTGACGATCGTAATACATGCGAGTGAGGCCAAAAGAAACTCATTTGAGTAGGCCTGTCCTGAGATTTAAAAAATAGATTTGTTTATTTTTAAAATTGTTAGACACTTAAATTTATTTGTTCGACATCCCTTTTAACAAATTCATGCCGTATTTCATTTAGTGTTTGTAATTATTTAACTGTAGAATCAAAATTTTGAAATTTATTATGTTAAGTCAATGTCAATAAATTTGAAATTTTGAAATTCAATAATGTTAATGTCAATCTCAATAAATTTGAAATTCAAATTAATTTAATATTTAATGCTAATGTATTCCATTTAGTATTTGTATCGAGTAATTATTTATATGCTGTAGAATTAAAAATCATTAAATATTTAATGCTAATGTATTCCATTTAGTATTTGCATCGAGTAATTATTTACATGCTGTAGAATTAAAAATTCTAAATTCGATAATATTAATATCAATAAATTTGAAATTCCAGGTAATTCAATATTTAAAATTAATGTATTCCATTTAGTGTTTTGCTAAGAGTAATTATTTATATGCAGTTGCCTAAAAAAATTGGAATTTGAGACGCTAAGGAAACCTGGCAATTCTAAAAACAGATGTACTATGAAATTCATCATGCATCTATCTTTAGAATTACTGCTTTTCCCTTAGCGGCACACATTTAATATTGTGAGCCTCGAACAAACCGTAGCGAACGCCGTAACCACGTGATCAATACACGATCGGATAACCCCACCAGGGGTCTAGACACTTTTGCAGTAACGTGATGTGGCGCACGCGAAATGACCAATCAGGATGAGTAAAATTTGACTGTCCCGGATCAGCTCACCGTCAAAACCAAACACGTTTGCAAGAAGCAAAAACGCGAAAAAAGCGAAAATAATCAAAAACAAATGTTTAAATCGGCCTTTTGCCACTAACAAAAAATGTCGGGGCGAAATTTCACATATGGGAATGATCTTTTAAGGCCTATAACCACGAACCCTAACCGGAAACATAACATAAAGCCAAAACAGCTTATCCGAATGTGCCACAATGCGCCACATAACGTTACTGCGAAAGTGTTTAGACTCCTAGTGGAGTTCGATTCGATCGGACGAGACATCCTTTACTATAAATGTGAAATGGACTAGGAAAACTCCTACTTGAAAGCAAGTGTCAGACGGTGGTTTCCTAATTCATTCGCAAATAGAGTTCCCGACGATATATTTATAGCAGTTTTCAAAAAAGGCGTGAACAAATGCAAATAACTATATCACGGAAATTCACGCAATTACCCAGATTTTCAAAACTTTCAAAGCCAGCTCTAATCGGATCTTCAATTTTTACTAATGATCATTCCCCAATTCTTTGATTCCACACATAGGTATGTGGAAATCGTTGTTCACACCTTTTGAAAACAGCTGTAAATAAATCTCATAAAACCAATTTATTAAAGAAATTAAAGAAAGTAGATTCATGAGTTATATCAGATAAATTAGAATGATTGGATAAATTAGCCATATGTACAGTTATGTATATTCGCGCTTTTCACCTATAACAAAGTTTAAATTGCTCGTGCCTTGCAAATAAACTACCCTATAAAATTGTGCATGGCAGCGCTATAAATTGTGTATGGTATACAAAGAGTCCCAAAACTATACTAAAACGCTATAGTTAAATAAACTGTTACACTTCCGGTCCTGTTGTTAATCGTAGTAGAGGTGGGCTTTCGTTCGTTCAAGACTTGTGCACGCGATTTCGATATTTGTTAGACCCAACGTACAGTGATAAAGCTGTGATCATTGAATTAGGTAATAGATGAACGGTGATTCAAGCGCGTATAACACCTTGAAGTAACCGTACACGTCGTTACAGCCGCTGGTGCCTCCCGTGTCAATATTAATGTATTTCATTTAGTATATGCTTTGAATAATTGTTTATACGCTGTATAATTAAAATTCGAAATTTAGTAATATTAATGTCAATAATTTGAAATTCAAAATAATTTAATATTTAATTTTAATTAAAACGTCAATAAGATTAAAGTTTAATTTTCAAATTATCGAATTCTAGAATAAATAATATATATTTTCAAATATGTAATTTCTAGAATTCTATTAATGAAACATAAATTGCCTATACAACTCCATTCCTACCCCATAAAGATTACAAGTTATTACACTCTTAAAATTATGCAATTTCTAGAATTCTATTGATAAACAAATTGCTTGTATTACAAATTTTCATATCGTTCCTACCCCATGCAGAGTAACAAATTATTGTATGTAAGCGGAAATTTCCGCTTATACACAGCTACCCAGGATACAAGGATATAACTATTACTTATTGCTCTTTTCAAATTACTGTGACCAACAAATTTCACGTATCACACTGGGAATCAGAAAACAGGAGGAAACGTTGATGTTACACAACTGATTTTACACGCGGGGTGAAACACAAAAAAATTATCTTACAATACTTGATCGGACTTGATCAGTCAGCTAGTACATGTTATGATTATAATCCCACACCATTTTTTATTATAAAAAAATGGTGTGAGATTATAATCATAACATGTACTAGCTGACTGATCAAGTCCGATCAAGTATTGTAAGATAATTTTTTTTATGTGTTTCACCCCGCGTGTAAAATCAGTTGTGTAACATCAACGTTTCCTCCTGTTGAATCAGAATTCTAAAATAAATGCAAATCTGTGATTTGCTGTGAATATTTTTTAGCCAATCATGTATTCAAATTTATCTTAGATTTCAGATTCCCAGTGTGATATGTGGAACTTGCGATCACAGTAATTTGAGAAGCGCAATAATTTAATATAGAATGTTTGTATTCGAATAACTTGAAATGATTATAGAGAATTTGCTCCGCAATTTACGTATTACGAGATGATGTAAGGCCAGACCAATTTAATTCGGTGGTTTACGTTACCCCCCCCCTCTTCTGCCTTCCCCCATTTCCCCCCCCCTCTATATGTGCGGAAAATTTCGGAAAACTTTTATTATATCGCGGAGCGTTTCGGAAAAAATTTTATAA